CGGTATACCTATATAGGCAATATAATATTGTACCGATGTAAAGTATATAGCTATAAGTACATTACGTTCAACATATATTTTATAACATGTTTATATACATATATATTATTACATAATATGGTTTACACCTATATTATACTTACAACTGATGCCGTGTTAATTTTTTATTTTTATTCTTCACCCCATCTCACTACTTTCTTATATGACTCACGTTCGCCGTACTCATAAGCATCATAACCTATACGGGACCCGAGCAGTGATCCCTAGGATACAGTACACGGACACGCCCGACCGGCCAACTAATCCCAGTGAACCAAATTCCAAACTTCAATCTGTCTTGCTCACACTGAATGCTGTCGGATAAAAGGGGGTCGAAGAAAAATTCACAGAAACCCGCATTTTTAACCACTATACAAACATTTGTGTATACTTTCTCTGCGCACCACACGCGTAGTGTTTAACTCACTCACTCACACACACAAACAAGCGCGGACGCGTTTTACAAATGTATTTTTAAAGTATGGTACAAGACTTTCGACAAACCAATTGTGGTGACCATGGTTCGATAATACGTACACACGCGAGTGACGTCCGAAACGAGTGAAATTATATGCCATGTCATGCGGTTTGGATTCTCATCAGGAGAAAAGAAAAACTTTATCATGGAAATTATCATGACCATATCTTTAATATGAGACCACTTAGACATTGTATACTTTTTAGTTTTTCGCTTAATTATCGACTTAACAATCGACATAATATACTATTTGTGTTTAAAAATATTCATACAAATCACAATACAATGCCTATTTAACGTGTTATCGCTATATATTATATGTACAATTTAAAAAATATTAATATGGCAGTTTTCATAATTTCAAGTCGATACCTCCATATCGTTCAAACTTAAAATTGTAGTATGTATGTGCAATCTAATGCAATTTTTTTTTAAATTATTATTTTTTTTTTTCATATTGGTAAAAAACCCTCTGCAACATGGGCCATTGGGTTAATAAATAATTTAATTAATTATATATATTATTGTCTACTTTTACTCTAATTATTCTAAATGGTTTTAAATCTAAGTTTGAAGTTTAGTAGTTGTGATGAATTCGATGATGTTGGATTTTGACTGAGGAATGAGAATAATTGTGAAGATTTCAGCTAATGATTCAGACTGGTTTCAACTTGTTCTGATGTTGTGATATATTTGGCATTCAGTGAGAATGTTTTAGCTTGGTAAATGTATTTGTGTAATTCAGATTTATGGAGACTTAGATTCTGCAGGCTGTGAATATTGGGGGTTCTTTCTTGGGCATTAAGACACTGTGGGATTATTATTATTATTAATAAAAATACTTGCAATACATAGTTAGGTTAGGTTCATTTATGATCCATGATAATATTGATAAAGGATAACAGTTGTCAGAAGTGAGATAAATGGGTTTATATCATCAACGTAAAAAAGTTATAAATTCGTTAGAAAAAAAGTTAATTTAACACAAAAGTTGTATACGACAAATACACAATTATAATATAATATAATCTATAACATAATTTAAGTATTTGGTGTTCGATTTGGCAGCATACGTTTATCCTGAAATATTATTTAAATATGAGTTGCTATCAGAAATGTTGTTTTACATAATATTTGTGTCAAAATTTAGATTTTTCTTATTAAAGAATTTATTTTTTCGTTGATATAGTAATTGGATGCGGAGTTGTTGTACGTTTTTGATAACCATTCATGAGTGTATGTGGTGTATGGTGTATGATGTATGATTACCACATGTATAGATGGCACATTTCAACATCTTAGAAAGAGTATCACGCTTCTGATCAAGTTACAAAGCTATGACTGGTTTATGATACACCGAAAACATACCAGATGTGATGCAGTAAGACCTAGTGTGACCGCAGCTTTGATAATTTCAACTTTTGGGTACTAATTTGTTAGCTCCAGGTGCTTTGAATTTTATTTTAGCTAATCATACAAATTTAAATTCAAAAATATTTAAGACATTTAGACACTTTTAAGTGTTAAGACATGTTCACATTACCATAGTCCGTATACGGATTGCACTTAAATGTAATTATTCGATCTTGTTTTTGTAATTTCTTGGCCCACGTATATCCCGTGCACCAATTACCGAAATAGTCCTTCGATACGTTTCTAATCGAACAAGAAAAGTAAGTTTCTAAATGTTTTATTAAATGTAATATTTAAATATTACATTTGCGTGAGCATTGTCTTGTGAAGCGTTTCCATTTTATTGCACTCTAAAATGTAATGTTATGTATAAATGTATGTGTAATTGTGGTTAAACTTTATATTAAACACCCGAAACTTAAATAGTTGAATCACAATTAATAATGAACTAATATAATAAATGGTTTAAGTTATGCAATGTTCATTTAACCTAATTGTACTACTCGTATAAGGATTTTAATGCACTGATAATTTGTTGTGTGTCGTTCAATTGTCTCAACGCTATTCTCTATAATATAGCTAAATAGTGTTGGGTGTTTCATCACATTAGGTATATGGCATAATACAGACCAATAGGTATAATTACTTTCGATTAGAACTCATACACCACGAGATATTAACGTATTTAATTTCATATTTCCATATCGATTAATAATCTTACAAATTTTTTAATGTCTATTGAGCATATTATAATATAAAATATCGAAATACTGACTCAAGGTAATTTAACAGTTATATTTTACAACATTGTCGATGAAGCAGAGATATTATAATATTTTTTGTACTTTCTAAGTAATAAACCTACATCTTGTTTATTAGTACAAATTTTTTTTTAACTGACACTTAGCTATTAATAAAAACTACCTACGTTAATATATTTTTTATTATAATTATTATTAAATGATGCACGATTTTATGCGTTTTATTTATCGCTAAAATGTGCCCATTTGAATGTGACTAGAGGCTATACGCTTTTACCATAACAATACTGTAAATAATATAACTAACATGCCAAAAATAAAGATAACACGCCGTGTCGTAAACACTCAACAAATTATATACTTTGTGAATAAATGCAATTTCTAAATACTAACATTCGGTTGTACCTGTATAATAATTGTTTATGAGCAGCGTTAAGTAAAATTTGGACATACATACCAACGTAGGTAGGTATTATTATTAATATTATTAATGAACGTAATACTGTTTTGACCAAACCACATTCAAGCGTTACCGTGATTCCCAAAGATTAATAACCATAGTAATGAGTTAATACGGATTGGTGCACTAATTTATAATGTATGTATTCATTGCGTTTCGAGCAATTCTTAATAATATGAACGATTTCCACACGACACGAATGAAGATGTTAACCGCGGTTTCGATATACGTATGAACTTAAATAGTGTTGGTAGGTGTAGATACGATCGCTCAGAACGAGTGACCAGCACGTTGTTGTCTTAAGACCCGATAACAGAAATATTTTGTTTGTGTATGCGCAAGTCAACCAACAAACGTGTCCTGTCCCGAGGCGTGTGAAAAAGTCAAACTCCACATAGTTTACGGTTCACGTGTAGGTCTTTGGGTCGGGTCGTGTACAGACCCAATCAAGCATGTATCATGGTTCTTAAATATAATATTTGTACCTACATATTTCTTAAAAAAAATTTAAGTGTAAAAGCAATACAATATTAATAAATAAAAATATACTATAATACATTAAATTAGCGTGAATTAAACAGCTAAGTCTGATTTCGATATCAAGCAATAATAATACAACATTGAATGAGTTTCACTCCAGGCACATATTATTATTATATGGCTAAACCGGCTACAATGCAGGTCAAAATAATAACACATCGCATAATATATGTATACTAGTAATAATTTCAACTTGAATCGAATTGCACCTTATTGTAGATTATATTGTATATGTTCATGTGTCAGTCTGTTACCGAGAGTAGGTATGCAAGTATGAGGTTAATGATAATTATTGTCTATTACTTCGCCGGTACGCGTTAAATACATGACTCCTGAGTCCCGATGAATGGCATTAATCTCGAGTAGTACATCAAATTATCATGTTTCTCACTTGCTAAACAATTATCAACACAGTATTTTCAAACGGTTATGTAAAAATTGAAAAATGTAACTTATTAAAAAATATAGTTGTTATAAAATAATAACACTTCTGATATAATTATTTCAGACACGTTATTTTTTTAGGTGTCTCAATGTACGAATTTTTCAAATTCTAATATTTATTTTTTAATTATTATTCTTTGTGCGTCAACTACAGGTTTATTAGCTTATATTAGGTAATAATTTAACGTCAGCTACTAACTACTTATTATTTTACTAAAGCAAATAGTTCATAACCTACGTATTATTATAATAGTTTCTATTGTATTTATAGGAGTCTATACAAATAAACATTATTTGATAGTTTCTAAACATTATAGCAATTATGTTACCCGATAGGTAACATCGGTAGTCACTTATTTTAAAGTACCGCATTTGTATACATATATTATATTGTAATCACAAGTTTAGTGTGGAAAGTTAGATGCATATATAGAATTTGTATAGGTCATAATCATAATTGTGTACCTATTGTACCTATATGCCACGGTATTTGGCAGTATTGTAAAAACACATTAATTACAATTCTACGAAACTGTATAACTGTATAATAATAATATGCACAAATTGATCACAGTATGAAAATCATACAATAAATTGTCAATTCATACTGGTCATGGGCTTATAGTACGACAGCTTTCACTCGTATAAAACATAATAACTATATAATATGACATATCCTTTCATTTTAACATTATCGGTGTAATTAAAATTAATTGGATACGTAAATGTTTAACCATGTTTGAAATGCCAATGTTAAGCATTTTTAGTATTAGAATAATGAATACCATCTCGTTACTATTATAATAGTAATCATCGCTATAGAACTCAAAAACTAATATTGTATTTTATGATCGTTTGTTTGCAGGAATTACATGGAGATGTGTACAATCAACGTGTGTTTTCGAAACTGATTTTGGACTGTCAATCAATTGTGGTCTAAAAAAGTCTGGATTATTTCGTGTGAGAAATCTTGGAGGCGTCAAGGGATATGTTGGAGTCGGTAAGCGTACTCATCGTATTTATATGTATTTAAAATTATTTGTATATTTGCATATTTCTAAGCAGTAATAGATTTACGTATATTATTACATTAATCAATGGGAGAGGCAGTGCCGCAACTAGAAATGAAAGAAAAAGAGTCGAAGTGCTAGTTAAATTTTTTTCCGCCTATTTCAAACCTTTATGTGTAAAAAGGGCCCCCTAACTATAATAGTAGGATCCTTTTGGGGTGCACCGCACCCCCAGCACTCCTGATAATTGCTGGGAGAGGGTACTATTATTAGTTTTGTTCCGTTGCAAAACAATTCATCCACATCAAATACATAGTGAACAATTTATCACGAACAATTCGTAGTGATGTCAAATACATCGAAAATCATTATTAATTAATTAACAAATATTTTAATCTGAACAATTTCATTAATATATATTTAATATTAATCAATCAATTATAAGTTTTCATAATTTATAAACCTATCAAAAATTACAGTTATGAGTAGGTATTGAAGTATAAAAAGTATTTTAGATACTAGTTTTAAATACTTACATATCGCGTGAATATTTAGACAATTCTGCTCGTAATATAAATATTTGAAGAAAATAATATTTACGATGATTACTTTTTAAATTGCAACAAAATAACAAAATCATTTTTGTCAAAAACTGAAGCTGCGTTCATTTTTTTTTTTGTTTTTTCCATTGTTTAGAAAAGAACCAGCAACCTTACAGTATCAACTGGATCTAATTTTTTACAAGGAAACATCTCATAGTTGAAGGGAGACATATTAATAAATAACATTGCTCCAGAATAAAAAATACATCTTTGAATAACTAGTACAAAATTATTAAAGTGCTCGCAGCTTGAAATTATGAGCTATATTTACTTCTGAAATGTCTCGTTTTAAAAACATTTAAAAGTAGATAGAAAACTTCTATATAACTATATTAGTCTTCAATAAATATCTATAGGTAATACTTATTATAATCAAGTATTTTTTTTTTTTACATTTAAATTATCTAATTAAACATAATTGAGTTGTATAAACAAAAATTATTATATAACTATTATAACTAAGTCATACATTTATATGAAAATATGTGACATGCCCTTAAATTTAAAAATAATTTTTTCATTCTGAAATTCAAAAATACTTATATTCCAAATATTTTGATAAGCAACATTCCACATAAAAAATAGTTTGGTTATATAGGAATGTTTATAACGATATTGTTAAATGTCTATGTTCAAAATATAATAATATTTAAAAGCAGGTATTCCAAACCACGGAGAGATGAAAGTATTGATTTTACAATGATGTGTGTTTTTTTTTGTATCTGTCAGCAACTTTTGAAACAGTAAAAATGCTTAGATTTTCAACATCAATATCTTTTCTGATTTAAACCTGAATCTAGTTAGTATTTTGGGAGGTCAAACGTAAAAATTACTGATAAATAAATTAATAATTGATAAAAATAAAAATAAAAATAGGGGAACACCGGATTTTGTACACAAAACAAGTTTTTGACGAAATTGGCTTTATCATTTAGTTGTAATTCAAACGATGATCAAACGAATAACAGTAAATACTTGACATTTACACAACATGTTTAGATCGGCATTTTTAATTCATTATATGGTATTATTTCAATATTTTGAATTTTTCCAAACTATAATATTATATAGACATTTGGAATAACATTTTTTTTTTAATGTCAGTAAAAAAATGTTTTCTCAGTCAAAAAACTTAAAAATTTAGTACAAGAATTCTCATAAGTTATTATTAGAAGAATTTAAAAAATGAGACAATTCGAACCCCGTCCCCAAAATGAAAGTGTACTCACCTGACTTTCGGAACGTCAACTTCAGGAATTTTCTGGTGTGTATAATAATTGACAACTGTACTGTATTTACTGGATTTGAGCATAAAATAATAATATAATATATAAAATCCCTGTAGACTATTTAATAGCTTTAAAGTTTAAATATTGTATGTATGTAGGATCTAGCTGTTATACGAAATATATTTGATAACTGATTAAGTCATCCAAACTTCATACATTCAATACTTTTAATATCGATCGTTCAAATATGAATTGAAATATGGATTATTCTTTGAATATGTTTGAAATGTGTTTTTATTATTAATAATTGTATTTTAAGCTTACGCGTTCTCTCGTTGCAGTACACGAATTTTGAAACACAATAATATAATCAAAACTTTGATCATCCTCATTGGTCTTTCGACCAGCGTACTTCAATGAAATGGCCAACTCATTGTATTATGGTTTACAGGCATTCAACTGGCCGATGAACTAGGATTTAAGGAATCGCTTTCGACTCTAGAACAAAATAGTAAACGTCGTTCAGTCAACGGGTTTCCGGTGCCGGGATCGTTCGAACCTCTGCAGTCCGTACCGCAAAAGAACAATCACGCAGTAAGTATATACAACACAATACGCACATCATTTGTCATATAGGTATGAAATATTATCATATTTCTAGGTAGGTACATTATAAGTCGGATAATATTTTACCTAACGGTTGTGGTTGGGAAATGTAGACATAGATTTACGTATACGATAATAATATACCCATGTCGTATACCTACGCCTCGCGATCATTCGCCAAATCCTTTGTCACTTTTTATTATTATTCCCTAATACATTACATAATATAGTCTCGTCCAATATTCCAGTCACGGTGCTACGAAGTTCCGGGATGTCTTAAATTATTCAGTTGGCACGGGATATGAAAAAAAATACGACTATAGTGCCTGTTCTATATACCACTGCAGGTTACTGTCGAGGTACACGGAAACACAGAAACACCGTCTCCAATCGATGTTTAACATAATAAATTATTCGACACGTTTTACAATATTTTCACCGTGATTTAGTTATGTTATACTTTTTCATTTTTTATTCTTTAAAAAAAACATGGGTATTGGAAGGCGATAAATGGCAATGTCGCCTGATTTTCAAATGTTGTTTTTAAAAACTCATTTTACTCAAACTGAAAAAAAATTGTATATCTACCTACAGAAATTTACTGTTGTGAAGATGTAAGACTTAATCAATACTTTCTTGAACTTTGGTTACCTATACATTGGTATGTATTTTTAATTTTTTTTATTTTGATCAATCAGTAGGATCTATAAAAATGTTCAGTCTTACACTATGGGTAGTTCCTGATAGAAAACTGGATCAGGTTGGTGAGTGAGTCAAACAATGCTTGTATATAATCTACTATACAGCAAAGCAACTTCCCAACTTATTATTTTATAATAACTTTTTTAAATGTCTTTGAATTGACACATTTTCACTAAAGTAAGTACTGTAATAATACAGAAAGTATTTTAGTTAAATAATTTTTTGATTTTTCAACCTTAAGAGTATTCAAACATTTTTTTAAAATGTTAAAACAATTTTTTAATGGTTCTTTGATTTCACAGTGATTATTTAGTATTTTGATGATACATACCTACGGTTTACGGATATGAATTTAATTAAAATATTTGTGACGAAAGTAGAAAAATTTAAAGGAAATCATGATTTACATAACTTGTATGTTAAATATTTTAATCAGGTATCAGTTAATCCGTGAGAAACTTCTGGTACCGGAATTGAATCTAATGTATAGAATAATATGGAAATAGTTAGAACTGTATTTTGTTATTGTTCATTCATTAATTACTAAAACTGTAAACAATTTGTATGAGTATATAATATTATAGTTTAAGTAATAAAATGTGCAAAATCAAAAATGCTCATATTTTACATTAACGCATAAAACTATGTCATATAAATTAAACCAAATAAACCAATAAAATATTTTATTTTAAACGTAAATAGTTTGAAACCTAAAAAAAATTATATAAGTGGAACGTAGTTTTGTTACCTTGAGTACCTATACTTAATTGTTGGTTACAAGTAGAGACAATCTTACTTGTTATTTTCTAATTGGTAATAACTAGTAACTACTAAATACAGTTGCTCTATAAGTTTTACGTTAGCAATATTCCTAACGACAAAACATATGAAAAATTTGTTTCATTATATTTTAAATTAAATACTAATGTGCATTATATAATACATAATACATGTTTGTTGATAGAATAATACGGTAAATATTAAATGAAGATCGAATAAGTACCCAGCTAGTTAGTACCTAATCTTGATTTTTTGTTTCACTTATTATATACACGGTCTAGTGTATATTGTACATAAGCACCTTATAGAGTAAAGAGATGTGAATATACTGGACGTCACTGTAGCATTCAGGTACAAAACATCAGTATTTTTTAAAAATGAGAGTATTATACAATTTAAATAAGATAACATTGTGTCACTTTCAAGGGAATATCCATTATGGTGATTTAATATAACACTATTAATAATTATGACACACTCAGCTCGCATAATTTGAGAAAAACCAATCTCGACATGAATCATGAAGTATAAATACATACTTTCTATTTTACAATACGGTTTACACCGTTACTCATTGTTTTCAAAAGTTCTAATTTTTTTTAAATATTATTTTTACAAAATGTATGAAATGGCATTGCAAGACAACATTTTTTAACTAAATAAATAATTATATTTCCTATAATTGTTATCGTTATTATAGAATGATGTACCTAATCACTTTATGGAATAATAACATGCATATTTTTATATTTCATACTCAGAATTTCATACTTCAGAATAGTTTTGGTAGTACATCGATACATCATGTATCGAGATATATCCATTCTTTACAATTTAATTTAAAATTATAGATAGTATTTGTAATTAGTTAGAAGTATTAAAGTTTAAATGAGCGAAGTAGTTTGCAAATAGTATATTATGGGGATTCGTGGGCACGACGTGCCAGTATCACATTTTAAACAGACAAAACGGTACACACAATAAATTCTTGACGCTTGATTACCATTCATAATATGTAATATATTATTATTATTTCGAGTAAAAAGGTAATATATTATATGATAATATACATAAATACGACCAATTAAACACCTACTCATTATTATTGAGTTACATTTTAAATATTTTCTTATTTAACACAAATTCTTGGAGTTTTCAAAATTCAGACTTAAGTCATTTCAATAATAATACCTACTTACTTGATTAAAAATCAAGAAGGAAATACGAAATGCCCAAACGTATTGCCAATATTGACGATTTCGTCCCATGATAGTAGATGCAACCTACTAGATAATATACAAAAATATCAATATATCATCTTAATCTTCTGTATGTGTGCAGTTTTTACTTGTTTTTTTGTTGAACACGGACCTTATGCTGCCACAGTGACGCATGCATTTATATTTTTGCATATATTATGATAATGCCGGCAGGAATACATAGAAATGTGTATGGTAAAATAGCATACAAATTACAAACTCGACTGAGAACAAAAAACTATTTTACGTTAAATAATGATTTCACAATTTTCAATTATAAACTTACATCAGATCACCATTCATCTATCGTTTAGAACATTTTATGTATTGCGAGATTCATAATAATAATAATATGTATTATTCTTACATAATAATACAAAACAAATAGAGGTAGTTAAAAACACATATTTTGTAAGAACAAAGATAAAAATCTTTATAAATTAATAAAATTCATAACAATTTGTTGTTTGAAATGAATTTCGTTTTACTAATCTATGTAATAAATCTGATATTTACATTAAATTTATCTGCAAAACATGGACATACCTATTATTATATTATATAATTACAAGTATATATTTGTTTAATTAATAAAATAATGTTATTAAATAAGTAATAACCTTTAAAAATTCAATATTCTTCACTATTTCATTCAATAGAACACATCATATTTTTACGTTTTTATGAATTATAGATAATAATATGATATAAATATAAAATATAATTTCATGTTTTTTTGATTTTTTGATTTAATACTGCAATCAAAACAATAAATATGCACAAATTAACAATAAAAGGCCGAATATTTACAACTGTCTACATAATTGATTATAAACGTCACATGACTGCCGAATTACCTCTAAGTTTAAAATTCCTCATGATGGGCACAAGGTATTCGACACGAAAAAATAAAAATGAAATTTGCAAGCAGTGATTGTTTATTCCAAACACGTCTAGAATGATTTTCATTTTTAAATTTAAATTTAAATTTCCACAAAACCCCAGTCTGGTAACAGGTGACGACACTGATGGTGATTAACATTGTGAAAAAATGTCGTTAAAAATGTCTGTGGCGCCTTTGCATGTATATTTGTATAATTAAAACAAGAATAGGTCGTTAAAAAAAAGTCCTTCCCTTTTTTATAACCTCGCCCATGCGTGTACGCGATAATTACTTTTTCGCTTCATTATAATATTATAAGAATATACAATTGCAACACAAAAACGGTTTCGTTTTATTTTTCAGCTGACGACAGCTGCAGCCAACAATGACAATCAAGACAGATCGGCTTACGCCAAGATGAACGGCAGGACTGCTGTTGGCGTCGTCACCGTGCCACCCTTCCGGCCGCTGATGGCCGCAGCCAACAACATGGTACGCAATGTAAGATTGGCCGCTCAACAACAGCAACAACAGCAACAACACCATCAACAACAGCGACAACTACAACAACAACAACAACAACAACAACAACAACAACAACAACAACAACAACAACAACAACAGCAGCAGCAACAGCAACAGCACGTGTTGAAGCCACTGCCCGTACCAGCGTTTGCCGCCCTGCCAGAGTCCATAGCCAAAGTCGCAGTGGAGCCAGCGCAACCTTCGCCGTTCGCCAGTGGTCATAGGCAATCACCGATGATGGCTCCCGTGGTGACGCCCATGGTTGGCCGACTGTCCGCGCCGCAGATGATGCAACCTGTTCAACCTGTCGCTTTGGTGCAAGTTCAACGTCAGGCGATGCCGTCACCAGTGTTTATGTCTTCGCCGCAGCAGCAGCAACTGTTATCACCGATGTTTATGACACAGCAGCCGCAACAACCGCAAACGATAATCGTTCCGCAGCAGCCACAGCAGCCGCAACAACAGCAGACGATGGTCATGTCTCAGCAGCCTCAGCAACAGCCAACGGTGGTCAAGTCACAGCAACCGCAGCAACAGCCGACGGTGGTCATGGCACAGCAGCCGCAGCAGCAACAGCAACAGCAACAGCAACAGCAACAGCAACAGCAACAGCAACAGCAGCAGCAACAGCAACTTTCCCCAGTGTACTACCACAACGCCATGCAGCAAGCGGCCAACAGGCGTTTCAACGTGAGTGTGCAGCATGTTCAAATGTTACATAATTAATTCTTTTTACCGTTTAAAGTATGGACCTCATACTACTGTATTCCGTTCCATATAAGAACGTACCGCCTTGGCGCATCCAAATAAATCACTGAGCGACGTCCGGACCCCCAGGCTAAGTCTATTTGCTCTGCTATTGGTCGTCGTTAATCGGCTATAGTCGTCGCCGCCCACGGCGCTGTGGTTAACAGGGAATCGCCTAGTGTAGTGGGGATACATGCGCGAGTTTCGACCAGTTTTCGTCGGCCGCCCAGTGGGATTTTATTTGGAACGGAGTATAGACAAGTAAAAATTAGAGTATGGAAAGCAGCAGAAGATAGAGGGCGCTTTTTGATTACTTGATTACTCGTAGGTACGCTTGGTAGTACAGTACAACTGTTGTAGGCATAGGTCTATTTACTAACCATACCAAATTGACAGGTTAGGTACTCGTACGATATGTGTTTAGTCTAAAGCTAAACTCCACAATAATTATTTTAAATATGCAAGCTGGTCGACCAAAACAGCCTGCATCACTGTGAGATGTTTAATCACAACCCGCAATGCTGTTGTTGCACACATTACTTGTCTCGTTGTCTAGTAGGTAGTGTAAGTCATAAGGTATATGGTTTAAAGGTACCTACCCCATATAAACTTTGCGATGGCAATATTATACAGTTATTCAAAAAGCCATTAACCGCAACTCCTGCCGTTGGTACAGAAACGTTTAAGGTTGTCAACAAATTAGGTGTCAGTATTGTATTATTTATGTTTGTAAATCTGGTAATGACAAAGTTGTATTCACGAATATTCTGATGTATACAACATAAAATAATATAAAATAAAATAAAATAACCTAACCCATCATAGGCATATTAGCAACATCCACTTAAATGCAGTGTATAACTACTGAATTATCTGTAGAATTCACATCGAAAATTTGTAAATATCTATATCGTCTAATAGTGTAATGTGTAAGCGAGCAAATAATAAATAAATTAACGGCTGTAATAACGATAGGTACTAAATAATATAATATTATGCATTTTAACTGTTCTCTAGTCATCCCCATTTCGTTTTGACTATTATTAAACAGTTTCTTTTATAGTGGAGTTTTGGGTCTTTTGCGTGTGTGAATTTTTTAAAACTATTTTTAAACCTTACTTACACAATATCTTCATTTATACATCACCTATATTTCAAATCGTACATAGATACGTGCTTCTTATTTTCTCAACAATTTGTTTGGATAAAATGCCACTTTCGTGTTAATCGAGCTTCGGAAGTTCACATCCATTACCGTATGAATTAACATATTCTATAATTAAATATTATAGGTAGGTATTCGTATTTTTTGCATTTTCAATTTATTCGTTTCTTCGTCTGTAATGTGTTTACATTAACGAATTACCAAGCTATATTTAATTTGATATTAACTTTCAGTTGACGTTATATAAACGTCTTGTGTACCCATATTAGCATAATATATTCTAAATTTAGTACTTCAATATAAAATATATTGATAACATGCATTACTTAAGTAAAGTTAATAAAAAAATAAGTATTCTAATAAAATCCCCTTAAAAGTGTGCTACCACAAATTAGCTAAATTTTTTTCTATAGCTATACAATATCATATTATAATTAATCTATACTATAGAGTATAGATTGTTTATTAAACGTAGGTATATAATATACTTTAAGTGTAAACTGTATCATGAATTTTTTAATGACAATTTCAATGAACCTTTTAATAAGTAGGTATACCCACTGAATACTATACTATATGAAATGTAAATAATCAAACCGTGATCCAGTCAATATTTAATTGAAATTCATATTGTCGATTATAATAATATGACAATTGGTTTTATTATTTCTATGGTATATGTATATTATTACATTAATTTTTTTATAAATAATTTAGCCCTGGGTTTAATGGGTGTATAATTTCTTCTGAGTGTACAAGATTCTAGTCAATATATTTCTATTGCTTATTGAAATTTAGAAATTAACAGATTATTTTCCTATTTGTTGAATTTGTTTAACTTCTTCAATTATGTTATAATATTATGTACACAATTTTTTGCACGATGTACGTTATAGCTGCAACTACTGTTTGTACCTATGTATTTTTTACGTCTTCTATCTAATTTTTTTTTTTTATTTAATACACGGAAGGTTAAGGTTCATTTTCATTCCCTTCTTATGCTAAATTATACATTTATAAAATTCTATTGAATATAATACGCCTACTAACAACTAACAAACAGTGCATAACATACCTAGCTATATATTTGAGTGAAGTTTAACTTGAATTTCACACTTCTACAACGTAATTCATGTTATAAAATGTAAATATATTAAACAAATTTATGATAATCCACAATAATACTTTATAATTATACATTATTTTAAAAATTGTCATACAGCGCGTTAGGCACGCAACTGTTAAGCCTTGAACATTTGGATTTTACACATTTATCGTTGTGTACCAGCTTATTACATTACCATGTGAATACAATAAATTCAAATTAACGCCAATAAAACGGTCGTAGATGAGTATTAACAACTATTTACCCTTTCACTGAACCTATGAATAATATTGGTGAAATTATTTGCATCTTATCTAGTCACTCCGCATTCGGTTTGTAATCTTCGGGAAATGGGACCGTTTCATCGGACCGGAAATAATGCGACTCGCAAATATTATAATTTATAATACCATATTAATTATGAATACAATAAAATAATAAATTATGATAATACATACAAGTCCCGTTCCACTAAAATTACGTCACATTGCACTCACAGACGACGATGCGAAAACTATTTGATCGAGATTCGAACTGCGTACAAGACAAACGCAAAGATACCTATCAATTGGCGACCACCCGCGTTTTCCAAAATGTTTTCGATTGGCTACGGCGAAAACCCCAATGGTTGGCATTGGTCGCTGGCTCGCAAGTATACCGCGTAGTAACCACGGTCGAGGCGAGTGGTGGCAGAATATTTATACCGCAACCGCCGTCTACATATAGCTTACGATACTGGAGAACAGTTAACAGTGAATATTATCTTGCGCTGGTTTTCCCCGAATGATTCTCTACGAATAAAATTACTGTTCAGACCATTTTCGCTTCGCCGTCGGCAATGAGTGTGTTAATTAGACTCGGAAAACGCGGTCGTCTACGTCTTCAATTTTCGATCAAACCGTTTATTTTCATGTTGTCTTCCGTGAATTTGTATTATTAATATTACTATATAATGTGATGTTCGATTAATTCTAGCGTAACGATTCTTGTAGCTATTATTATATATTTTATACTGGAATGATATAGAAGATAATATATTCACCATTTTGTGATAAATATGGTATTATATTTGTGAGCTGCATTATTTTTAGTCTGCTGAAATACGTCGCCCATTTCCCAAGGATTAAAAGTCGAGGTAAGACGTGCATGATTATAGTCATCTATATTCTATATGTACCTTACATTATATTTACAGATTCCTCGTACTACTCCATACTTCCGTTATTTACAATTAATTTCAGTTCTACTAGAATCAGATGCACCTATAGTTTATTAATATAGTTTTGTAAAGTTACTTTGGGCAAAGAAATTCTGAATACGTCTCTGCTATCAATAATATTTCCAAATTAGATCAAATATATTTTATACGTTTTAGTCATAGATAGCCATGATAACATGGACTATGTTTACAAAAACTACGTTTTATCTGAATAATATGATTATTTTGTGCACTTATAATAGTATAATACTATAGTAAATATTATTTTATTTTTACCTCTTTTACGTGTACTCGAATTCTGACCATTGTATTTTGTAGTAAGTTGCAGAAAACAGAAAACATATTCTTATAATTTGTTTGCTCATATAAAAATTATACTCGCACACAAATTATCTATAAAATAATAAAACCTTACTGCAGTGAAAATTTATATTTTTTAAATAAAATTTGCTTATTTAAAAATTACAAAAAAAATGTCAACCACTGGACAAATTTCTCAAAAATATAATGAGTGTTTTTCAGCTTTAAGATAGGAGTAATTATAAATGCAGGTCTATTAAATTTAAATGTAAAAATAGGTTGATTAATATTGAACTAATTATAAATATTTACCAGTTTATATTTAAATTAGATTTCCTCTTGTACATACTACTTAACCATAATTTTAAAATTGTATTAAAAATATCTCAAATTTTCTAAAAATGATCTGTTTTAGGTTAACCTTGTATTATATTTTTAAAACATTGAGTAACTACATCATAATTTATCATATTATAGTCAATTTAAGTACCTCAAAAATAATATATTCTTATCTGTTGTCAAATAATTTTAAAAGTACCTATATTCTCATGAGTATATTGAAAATGGATACAGTAATTCGAAACCAGCAGGTTTTTTTGTCTTAATTATTCATCTATGTTTCCATTTAAACCTTAAGCTTGTTTTCAATTGCTTCAAAATTAAATGTTAAATTTTGATGTAGGTATATTTAAATATTTTTAGTATTTTTGAAATACAACTTACTAAAAAAAACAATTCTTATAACCCATAATTGATTTAAAGATTTAGAGTACCCACCTAATAGGCATGATACTTTGATTTTTTTTTTTTAATGCGTGAAAACAATAGTTGCTTAGTTTTTTTTTATTAACACAGTCAGCTACTGTTAAATTAATGGTACGATTACTAAAATTTTTAATAATTTATTTGGAAGTGCATTATTGCAGTTTCGCCGAGAAAGTAAAAATTATGTGACCCCGATTCATAGAATGAAAACTTTTCGTAAGATGAAGTATAATTAATATTACCAGGCTGCCATGCCATATACAAAATTATAGTACCTAATACCTATAATCAAAATAAATACACTATAGTGTGATTGTTATACGATGACAAAATGTGAATCGTCGACTGATTTAGTTAAAATTAACACTTTTTTTTTTAACATTATTTTT